CTACCTACCACTACCACTACCACTACCACTACCACTACCACTACCACTACCACTACCACTACCACTACTACTACTACTACTACTTCTACTACTACTACTGCTCCTCCTCCTCCTCCTGCTGCTGCTGCTGCTGCTGCTGCTGCTAAAAATAACAAATATACAGTGTACCGAGACTGCGTCTGCGACGCAGGAGCTGCAAACTGCATTCACAGTCAGCCCATTGTTTTGTCAGTCCATTAAGAAAGGCACTTGCACCGCAAGTGCCCCTAAACCTTAAGAAATCGAAGGTGGCCTTAACGCCCACTGCAGTACTTGTGTAAACATTGTCCAGCGCTTCGCGAGGGAGAGGCGGTTCAAGATGTCTATCACAGTCACTGAAGCTAAACTTTTCTGGGCTTGACTCCGAAGATCCTAGACCTGTCTACGAAAGTGTACAGAAGCAAGCCAAATCAATCGTGCAGGTGGCGCATGTCAAAGCAAAATGGTCTCCTCTTGCTTGTAGTGAGTTTTCGAAAATCTACACGATGCAGGCACCTGTCCTAGATGACATGAAAAATGCTTCTTATCGGCCCAAGCTTTGCTATCTCCCAGGCCAGAATCCAGACCCCAGATACAAATCCAAGCCCTGCTTCAACCCCGACCCTTCAACCCTAAACCTTTTGAGGCCTAAACCCTGAACCTATCATAGAGACTCTGCTTCTTGGCGGCCACAATAATCGGAATAGGGTCTGAGAGCACACTGCCGTAGAGCTATATTGGGGCACCGAAGGCATGAACCCTTCGGCGATTTGTCCGGCTTCTCAAAAATATTCCCGATGTCTGGGACCCGGGCCATCGCATGAAGGAAGAGGGATCTGCACGGCCAGAAACTTTGCCGGAAAGAAAACCAGAGGGAGAGCCCGAGTTGAACCTGTCGTTTTCCAGCCTCGGGATGAAACCACCACTTCCATCGAAATCAGAGAGCTTAGGGCCTTGCAGGGCTTAGTGGGGCTTGCAAGGGCTCCCAAGGTTTACGACTTAGCCTTGCGGCTCTCGAGGTTTAGGCTTGAACCCTTCAGGCATTGGAATCTTTGGGTCTTGGATTTTGGAACTGGGTGGCTCGGATTCTCGGGACCCCGAGGAGGCCTGGAATCGCTGCAGGCTCCAGGAACCTAAAACTTCTAGTTTTGTCTTGGAGTTGAGGGTTCCAAGTTTAGGGTTTAGATGCCTCCTTCTGTACTCTACTTGCGGCTCCATTTGTCCTGTAGCCCCCACAGGACTTGGTCAAGCTTCCACTCTTCCTACACTGAGCAGGGTGCCTGGCTGGCTGACAAACCGAAAATGTCGACGTATACCCTGGCAGGGAAAATTGGAAAAGCCCGCGGAGCCCACAGACCGTTCCTGCTTCCTGAGTCTTAAGAACCTTCGGGGTCCCCTACAGAGCGTCTCCCGACAGCCAGTTCTGGACATCGGCTTTCGACACAAGAGGAAGCCAGAGTGCTACAGGAGATACAAAAGGTTGAGCCTGGGAGCGAAACAACAAAGAGCTGAAGCTCCTGGGCTTACAGCTTCTTGAAACAGAAGCAGCGGCCAAGTGGCGGGAGATTCTGCAAGTAGAGATGCCGAGTGTTCAGCATCACTCTATACCTGCGCAACAAGTAGCTAGCAGCTAGCCATGATGATCGAGCCCGACTTAAGGATATATAAAGAGCTGCATGTGCATGCACGACAGAGCTAAATCACCCCGAGATATATACATTCACTCTCAACCCCGCAAAACCGTCCCACGACAAGTGATCCCATGCGGTCCTCCCAACTCAAGACTCAAGAGCTCTGCCAGGCCTCATCTGTCGGAACTTCGACACCAAATCCCACAACGGTGCGATGCAGAAGCTCTCTTCGGAATCCGGCCCTGCCTCTGGAGGTCTCCATGGTCCTGGTAGAAGACCATCTTCCTTGTCACCATAGCTCTTAGGAGAGAGGCGGCCTTCTCCTTGTCCTTGGTTTAGAGCTTTTGGTTTTGAACACGTCTTTTACTCGCGTACCATTTAGATTTTTAGTTTCAGGGCTTAGGTCTTTGGATTTGGCCCAGAACGAGGGTGGCATCTTGAATCAGAATTCAGTGTCAGATCTTTGTTTCTAAGGGCGACGAGTGCCCTGACTCTGCACATAGACCCTAAACCTTTTTTTGAACCCAGACTCTGCTGATCACACTGCACCCCTAACCCGAAAACCTAAAATAGCAGAGGAGAGGGCAGAGCGGCTGAAGTCCAAACCCAAACGCCTCGGTGCCCTTAGACTACCGCAAAGCGATGGGAGTGGAGGCCACCAAGTCCATTCGACCGATGCTGTAACAGTAACAGATCCTTAGTACAAGGATCTATACCAAAACTGTACTTGCCCATAGTTGGTACCCTTACCCGCCAAACTTACTGCAAACCCTAAGGCCTAGTAGGGCCTTGTACAAAACCCAAACAAGCCCCTGTTTTTCAAAATCAGACCCCGGACCCTACTCTTCTGCTCGGTCAGGCACATATTCTGAGCGGAACTCCCCGGCTCCCACAGGCTGCCTGAGGAATGTTGAAGCTGTTTTCATACACATATCAGTGTGGCTTGAGGCTAGGGTTTTGGGCTTAGGGGCCTTGGGTCTACTCGTAATAGCCTTTGTAGACTCCAGGAGGCAGTTTCAGGAATCAGGGTAAAAGGTTTAAGAGTTGTGTGCTTGGGCTTTCGGGGCGTTGGCGACCAAAGGTTAGGGCAAATAAGGTGTATCTATTCAGTTGTCTTCTCTATCTGGTCTATCTAACCTACTTCATCTGCCTATCGATCAATCTATCAACCTATCTATCTCGCTGTTTATCTGTCTGTCTCTCTGTGTATCGGTCTAACCGTCTGTGTGTCCATCTGTCTATCTGCTTATTTATCCATTTATCTATCTGCCTATTACCTATGTGTCGATCTTTCTTTCTGCCTATCTACCTACCTATTATATCGGTCTAGGTTCACGGGTTCCACTCTCACTAGGCGGGGACTACATTGCCGACTTCGCCTGGCCTGTTCCAGGGCCAAATTAGAAATGACACAGAATTCCGAAGGAGTTACGACTTAAAGTGTCGAAGAACTCGAATGGAACGCCGGTGCAGCGTACAGAAAGCGCAAACTCTGCAAAGACACCCGTGCAACCTATGAAAAAAAGGCACCCAACATCAAGAGAGCCACAGATTGAAGAATCTTCTCAGAATCCCCCATAAACACGAAACCCTAACAAGGCAACGCTTAAGTAAGCCAAAACCCCGAACCCTAAACGAACCGTAACATCATGAAACCCTGAACCTGAAGAACAACGGAGGGCGTGCCGGGCCGCAGGGTTCGGGTTTGTTGGTAATGTAGGGGCCTTCATAATTGGAATAGGGTTTTGGGGTAAGTCATACTATAATCTTTTAATCAGGAGCCCCCACAAGAGTATGGGTAATTATTGATTAAGTAAGCCCCTATATTCTGCATGCCTTCGGGCTTCCTCAAGGGATGGTGCCGGTCTTGGGTCTCGGGACAGGCGCAAGTAGAATCTCCTCTAAGTTTCGCGGTGATCTTCAGGAGGGCGAGGCACTGGAGGAGACATTTGTGAACCCGAAACCTGTAGCACTCAACCAAAACATATACAGTAATAACACATGAAGTGCACTAACCTTCAGAGTGTTGCGCTCAAGGCTCCAAAGGAAAGTCAATCCTAGAAAGACACGTCACAGCAGCGTCTCCACGTGGTGTGTCCTGAGCATATCGTGTCCCGAACTGGCTGTCAGAATCAGATGAAACGAAGAAGACTGGTGCTAACACACCGGCTATTGCAATATTTCGTACTTGAAACTGTGACTTGCCGGGACTGCCCGCGACTGCTACTGCGACTGCGGCTCCATCACAATTCCATCACAATCCCAATCCAACAGCACTGCTACTGTCATGCTGCTAGTGTTACTCCTGCTCCTACAACTCACACCACCATCACCACCCACAAAGAAAACTTCATCAACGAAAGATACAGGCCGTGTAAGATTAGAACTGGTAGTGAGAGGCCGAGTCGAAGTGCATTTCCAAATACAGGAAGCAACACCGCTGCAGCCGACGTCACCAGGTTCTTATGAATACATCTCAGTACTCTTCAAGTACTCGCCCCTAGCCCTAAGCCAAGTGGAAGCTTCTCAAACACACACAGCCACTAGCAAGTGGGGGGTCGCTCTGTGCCTCCAGGGTAGCTACGCCTCGCAAAGCTACGGCCTCAGCTATGGACCTCTCTGAATAACCTCACATGTGGAAGCGGTGTTCGTGATACAACAGTGCATGGCTGGTAGTAGTTCGAAGCAGGAGTCGTCTCCGTCAATTTCGGTATCCTCACCAATAATGATAGAAAAGGCCCTGCATGGCCCTGCAGTTGATTCTCACGCAGAATTTCAAGATGCTATCATGGCGCTGTGCGTGCGTCACATGGTGGCAAACCGACCCTGTCACGATACTCAGAGATAGACGAACTGTCATAACCAGCACCGATGAGCGAGCCAAGATCCATGCAGCTCTCCAGAAGTACGTGTCTAATTCTACCCAAATCTTGACGAGGCACGCATATTGCAGCTCCGGCCCCTCCACCACCACCGGCGCCGACATCGACTCCAAAGCCAGGCAGTGCGCAGCACGCTCGAGGCGGCACCAGCCACGGGCCTGTTTCGCAGGTTTCTCGGCTGGCGTTGGCTTGAAGACAGGGGTGCTCCACTTTAGCATCGTGGTGCATCTATATATCATGTGTCGATCCAGGCCTCGGCCGGTGTGCAACAATGGTTTCGGAACGACGAAAGATCCACATCTGAGTGGCTTCATGCGTATCGTGCACATGTACTGGGCAATCATGTCCACTTCGTTCTTGTTGCAGTGTGAGATGAAAGGCTGCTCGGCTGCGATCATTCCGAGTTTTCAGACTCGAGTTTTCAATATTTTTGGCTCGTCGAGGTCCTGAGCACAGTATTTGGACACCAAGATGTAATCTAAATGGCTTAATGCTATCCAACCATGTGTAGGCCTAATAGTCAAGAAGTTACAGTGGCCCGACTCAGACCTTGATACTTGCAGGTTTGGGCACTACTCCAAAAGTCTTATTACAGCTCTTGCGAGCTGTGGGTAACGCTTCAGTGGCCGAGTATTCAATGTACGCAAAAGCGAGTTTTGAGAAACAGAAATGGTACGATATTGGCGAGCAGTAACCAAGGTTGAGCAATCTTGTTGCAATGTGGAAGGAAAAGAATACGTCCACCATACAATACATGCATTCACTTGTTCACTAGGGTGCCCTGTTGCAGCATCCCCACTTCGAGCAACGGCGGGCCTTCCACGACGAATAGCTAAGAAGGCAGCCGGTCTCCATGTGCTGCACGGGTGGGGCAAGAATAAAGAAGAACGTGGACATCTGCACGTAGCCTGCAGTGTGCTTGTTTGCACATCCATCTGTCAGCATGACTAGTTACAATAGAGTTGACAAGCGAAAAAGCCTATGATCTACTCAATGCCCTGATCCTATAGAACCCACACCGAATAAGTGGAGTTGCAAGGCCCTACACCAGTCTATCTCCAACCGGTATGCTAGATGGCGTGAATATCCCAAATCCCAACGCCCCGTTCAGACAGTCGGCCAGGGATACTCTCCACTGCATTGTGCAGGCTCTGCAGAACTGCGGGATCTCCCCTGTCAGCGACTAGCCTCGTGAGTTCAATATGGGCTGTAGGGAGTCTGCTCTATAGGGCCTCTGAAGGGCTTTGCAGCAGGACGGACGTTGCAGGATTGGTCTTCTTTGTCTGGAAGGCGCGTTCAGCTGTGAGAGCCAAGCCAAACAATCGCACCGCGACGGCCGGTGCTGGTTTGTTTGAGTGCTGCCTCAGCAGCTGCCGCTGCCGCTGACTCTGATGTGGTCTTTGTCGTCGCCGTCGTTGTGTTTGTGTTGATTTGGTTGCGGTTGTCGGGTTGCTGTGTTGCTGTTTATTATCCTTGGCTGCTGGCGCTGTTGCTTAGATTGTTGATGTGCTTTAACTGTTGATAATGAAGTTGATGCTGATGTTGCCGTTACCATTGCTGTTGTTGGTGATGGTGGCGGCGGCGGTGGTGGTAGTGGTGGTGGAGGTGGTGGTGGCGGTGGTGGCGGCGGTGTTGTTGTTGTTGTTGCTGCTGCTGCCGTTGGTGCTGTTGCAGTTGCTGCTCTTGTGTATCTTGTTTTTCCTTTCTGATTCTGCTGCTGGCATGGATGGTAATGCCGATGTTGCTGTTGCTGCTCTTGTTGTTGATGAGCTTGTTGTTGGTGGTGGTGGCGGTGGTTGTTGCTGCAATTGTTGTTGGTTTTGCGATCGTTATGGTATGGTTGTTGCTGCAGCAACTGTTGTGGTTGTTGTTGCTGTTGCTGTTGCTGTTGCTGTTGCTGTTGCTGTTGCTGTTGCTGTTAGTGCTGTTGTTGCTGTTGTTGCTGTTGTTGTTGTTGTTGTTGTTGCTGCCGTTGTTGATGATGCTGCTGCTGTTGTTGTTGTTGTTGCTGCTGCTGCTGTTGTTGTTGGTGTTGCTGCTGCTGTTGTTGCTGCTGTTGGTGATGCTGTGTTGTTGTTGTTGTTGTTGATGATGTTGTCGTTGTTGTTGTTGTTGTTGTTGTTGTTGTTGTTGTTGTTGTGGCTGCTGCTTTGCTGCTTGCTGGTTGTTGTTGCAAGCTCTTGATGCCTCTAATTCCGTTGATGCTGGTGGTGACGATGTTCTTGTTGGTGGTATTTGTTTGTAGCGGCAGCTGTATTCGGCTGCTGCAGCTGCTGGTTCGATGTTGTTGTTGTCGTTGGTCGTGCCACGCAGCGTGCGGTGAGTTGGTGAGTTGCTTGAAGGGGACGGGTATTTATGTTTTTTCACCGGTTGAAAAGCTTATGCTCGGTCTTGTTGTTTGTGTTCTTGCTGTTGGTGTCGTTACAACCCGTGTACCTCACACCGACCCTCCCAATCTAAACAATAACTTGGTCACTGAACCAGCAACAGTCTGATCCCGCCTCTCTCAGAACGATGTTGTTGTTTGCCGCCAGCACTACTACCACAACCACGGCGACGACAACTACACAGATCTTATGAATACAACTGCGACTAGAGGCATGCATCCCTAAACCCGGAACCTGGCATCGTGCAGATAATGCCGAAAGAGCCCCAACGTAAGAGCTGTGCGAACCCTTCATGACCCCTACCGTGGTCACAAGCGAGCCAACAACTCGGGAACTGCACAAGATCTTGGCGGACGGGGGGGCACGATCCTGCTTGTAGAACGGTGAACACACGACTGTAGCAGCACCCATTTCAGAGCTAGTTGGGCGTCCAGGGGCTCGCAAATATCAAGCTGTTGTGTCGGGAGGGGCGACGGCGGCGGTGGAGGCGGTGGCGGTAGTAGTAGGTTTCGTGGCAGTCGTAGCGGTGGACTTCGGCGAAGGCAATAGCGATTGTCAGGACTTCACCGCTTGATCAAAACCAGAGTCTTTCACAAGGCTGCAGAGCGAGAGGCTGTGGGCACGACATGTAGTCGTACCTTGGTTCTACATGCACTGCAGGGCCGTAAATGGGCTCCAGTCTGTCAGCAGCACGACGGCCTGGAATGATTCTGAAGAGCATGCGAGGCACCAAATGTAAAGCGGCTTAGTCTTGAGATCTTGGATTCGCACCTCAGCTCGGTCGCAACTTATAACAACGAGTCCCGCGCAATAACTCAACGTTACACCTTGCAGTGTCTCCCACAGATTAATGCAGCCGACTAAGGACCCTTAGACACTAGTAACAGGCAGGACAGGAGGGCAATTCGTAGTGTTGGGGTTCCGGTTGATGCCGTGGCACATTCTGCACGAAGCTGCATCCTGCCTGCAAGCTCTTCCGGGCCGTCAGTGTTTTGCAGAGTTCTGAAGAAGCCCAGGCCGTGTGCTCTGCTACGAGTGAACAGGACTTGTCGCATCAATTTGCACAATGGAGCCTGCTCCAGCTGCTCTCGTCTGAACCACTTGCGACTGGAAAACGCAAAAAACGCCCACGGCAATACACACTGAGCACATGTGATCGGAACCTCGACAGTGAATCTAAGCCTCAACCTGCTGCGTCAACAGATGTCCCGCCGCACAAGGATGTTTGGCATTGGAGTCGTCACCACTCTTCGGCTAAACTTAAGCCCTGTTGCAAACCCTTGTGGTTCAGAGTCGAGCTTTGGATTGGGATGTTGAGGGCTTCCGGGACAAGTTACATTGCACTTCCAAGTGACATTCATTATGAGATGAAATACAACTGCCACCGGCAGTCTCGGCATCCACGGCGACACCGTAAATGCGAGCAGAAGGCATCAGTTCGTCAGTCTTGATTTCAACACATAGTCAATTCGATCCGATTTTCTTGAATTCTCCATCCTTCGAACAGGTGCTGAGCAGAGAGGTCTACCCAAACAACCTGTTGCAGAATTCCTTCCCCACCAACCCTCCCAGCATAAACCCTAGAACAGAAAGTGCCAATCACTGGTACCACCAAGGGCTGCATATATGCCACAACGTGTATTTGCGAGCTTGTCTCTGTCTGTCTGTCTGTCT